ATCCTTATTTATGTCCATGGCACACACCTCTGCCCCAAAATATTCACCAGTCTGATACTGTGTAAGGAACAAATTATTAAAGAAAAAAACATCAGATACATAAAAATAATACAGGTTTTGATTATAGTTTATTTTTCATGTCCGTCTTATACTGTAAAGCTGTACCTGCCACGGAAACGGCTCAATTGTTTGTTTCATAAAGCTTTGTCTGTTAGCAGTTGAGAACTGTAAACTCCATCTCACAGCAAGCACTGTTCCTCTGTGTTTGAACCTTGGAGCACCAATAACTGTCAGTGAGCCACGCTGGGTTTTAGCAATTGCCATGGAGTAACCTACAATTTAACAGTCAAGCAGTCAAAGTCATTAGTTAAAATAATCAAATGTGGCTAACATAGACAAATTGTATAGATTTTTCTAAAGCACCTCTGCAGGGAGCAAAGTTTGAAATTACATATTTCAACAACTGTCTAATATACCAGATTAAAAAAAAAAAAAAAGAAACTTACTATACTTCAGCCATCATTTGCAGTAAGAAGCCTTCTATTTCACCATACCCCTTTCTTGCCTTAAGCCTACTGCATGTTGCAGATGTCTGTCTTCACCTGATTTTATTCTGAATCTATTTGTTAAAGTGATTACAGTTTCTATACTCTGAATTACAAAGGAACCCCCAACATACTTACTAGTGAGCATATCCATCCAACCATACATTCATCCATTTGTCCATCATCTTACTATTGAGGGCAGTTTTTGGTCATTTAAACCTAAATTTATTTGTTATTGTTGTCTTTTCTTATTCCAGTCTTCTGGGTTTTCCAGGTTTTTTATTTATTGTTTTTATTATTTTAATTGTAGCCATTTATTTCATATTTTATGTTAAGTAACAGACAATCAAAACAATGTGACTGATATTAAAATGCTTTTAGCATATACACCTTCAGCATTTTTAATATTTTTTTCAGTTTTTATATTTCGTCCAATAATAATAATTACAGCATAGCTATGTTTACAGTTAGTTTGTTGTCAGTGTAATATTCTCACCAAGATAACTGTCAGGCTCCAATGGCATCTCGTATGTTTTCACCCTGTCATACCCAGTTGTAAATTGAGTATAGCCTCCCGTCCACTGGTTGGCACCAACAATAGACATTTGAATTCCCTGCAGTGTAGATAGATATATATTGAATTCATAGAAATTAATTTAAAATCTGAAGTTTGTTTGGCTGCCCTTTTTTTATATATCACTTGACTGTCTGGTTAGTTTTAAGTGGTTTTAATTACCTCAGGCACATAAGCTACATTGAATCCCTCTTGAGCCATTTCCATTCTCAGTGACTCCCCACTGGTTTGAGATCCTGAAACACAAAAATAAACACAAATTTAAAAGACTGTAATAAATTCCGATTTGCTCATTCGTGCTATTATTATGGCTTAATGGTATAATTCTAAATAATGACTTGCTGTTTATTGAAAGCGTGTCAGAGCGTATTTTGGTCATTTTACAAATGGACAAAGACAAAATTATCAACTTCAGATGGAAGAATTTCTATAAATTTTAAATACAGTTAGGATCACGAGTTTCTGGACAATGACTCAAGCTGTGCACATTTTCAGCTTTGATTCAAGTTGTTTGAAATAAAAACAATAGCCATATTCATAAAGGTAAATAACAACTGAAACAGCAAAAAAAGCAGAGACATGCGTAACAGACATGTCTGTAGACATGTAAGAGAGGGGGAAAGACACAGCACCAAAACACTGATGAGAATACTACAGAGAGTATTAAAATTTAATCAGAACTGGAGATCTCAAGTACTAGGGATATCTGAGAAGCCAAAAACAAACAATGGAATAATGAAAACAGAGGATTCCTAATATTATAAATTAATTTATTAATCAGAAACTTCCAAAAATAAAGTAATTTAGAAATAAATTCCACCAGTCACCAAATTCCTTTTTCCCCATTGTAATGCTCTACCAGGCCTTTACTCCAGAAAATGTCAACAAAGCAAGTTTACGTTTGTACCTTCGATAGAGATTTTTTTCTCTAAGTTCTGTCTTATTATTTCAAGTGCGTTGAAGTCCCTAACTTGAAACACGTGTTTGTCTGAGGGAAAAGATGCAATGGTGTCCAGTTCTTGTTTTGCCTCAGGTTTATTAAACGCATCCCCCACCTAGAGGGGAAAACACACACACACACACACACACACACATTGAAGTTATTATATTGTGTGGATTTGTTTCCCTATTAAATCAAAGGGATCCAAGTATATTTGCATTTGCAATGAGTACTGAGTTTGTATACTGTACTTTCATAATTTCCCCAAAATAACAAAACGGTCTTATAGATGCTAACATCTAAATACATTATAATAGCCGTTTTTACAAGTCTATCACCCATAGCAATCAGTTTCCTATCAATGTTTGTACTTTTTAAATTGTATAAGAAAATTAGTAAGTAAGTAAGTAAAAATTTATTTATATAGCACCTTTCAAGATAAAAGTGCTTCACAGAAGCTAAAACCTAAAAATAAAAGTCAACCAAAAGCAAGTTTAAAAAGATGAGATTTTAAAAGCGACCACGGAGTCCACAGATCTCAGGCTCAAAGGGAGAGAGTTCCATAATCTGGGGGCCACAGTTACAAAAGCTCTGTCGCCTTTTGTTTTCAGCCTTGCGTGTTGGACAACCAGCAAGCCCTGGTCACATGACCTCAGGGACCTGCTGGGAATGTATAAATTAGGTTAACTTTACAGGCTCAATGAACAGGTACTTACCCCAATAGCAAATCGAACTATTTTTTTACTCTCAGCTAGCTGTGCTGCATATGGTAAGCGATTTGAGTTTTGCGATTCTCCATCAGTTATAACTATTAGCACCTTCTTTGCATTTGATCTGGATCCTCTTTGTGGTGTAAAAACATTTTGGCTGTTGAATGAAGAAAATAGAGTTTCAGTTCATCTTTCATCTTGTTGTCTTAGAGGTTAAGTAAAATAACCTCTTAAATAACAATCATACCCTGCTTTTTAACAGTATCTTCTTCTAACATAACAGGGAATTTAGATTTCAGTTAAATATAGCTCTACAAGTACAGTTTTTATATCTAATATTTGACTTGCTCCATTAACTGTATAGACATCCACAAACACTAGACTCTTTTGAAAAAAGTTACATCAGTGTTTTGGATAAAAAGATCACACAATAAACATGCAACATCTTGGCAGCACTTACACAGCGTGTTCGATGGCCTTAGCTGTGTAAGTTCCTCCACGTAGTTGTTTAATTCTATCAATGTTAGATTCCCATGATCCAGATGAGAAAAAATTATTAAAGTAGTAATGGACCTTTGGTGAATAAGAAAACTGGGAAACAGAAAACTGAAGAAAAAACATTCAAAGAAAAATAAGTGGAAAGTGGAAATAAGTGGAAAACATAAAAAAAAACCTATTTTATGGAAATTTAAAAAAGCTGCATGTACTTGTAATGTCTATGTCTAACTGAGAATAGCAGTGCAGTTCCTCACCTTTGTATCACTTGAGAGAAATGACCCAACGAGGTTTTTCACAAAGGTCTTCATTTTTTGAAAATCTTGACGATTTACACTCCCTGAACCATCCAACAGAAAGGCAATGTCTGTTCCAATCAGGCATTCTGTCAAGGAGATGGACAAGGAATGCTCTTTTAGTGTTTCTGAACTGCTCTCTGTGCCCTTTTTTGTGAAAAAGACTGAATTTCTTGGTATTCTGGAAGAATAATATTAACATCATTGTTTTCCCTTTAAATCTCCTTTTCACTTCTTTTTTGGACCCAATTTAACTTGAAATTGAGTCCTGTGTTTGAATGTTTAACACCACTTAAGACTTAGCACAACTCGCATAACAAAATAAAACAACTATCTTTGTGGTCTGCAGTGAATTTGAAACAAAACTTTCACTTCTTAATTTCAAATTTCATTTGTTAAAAAATTACTTTTTTATTAGTTACACTAGTTTTTGCAGTTATTTGTATTTCTTTCTGGAAGCTATAAGAAATCGCAAACAAAGAAAAGGAAACATGTCACTCTTAGACTGTCACAGCTGAGCAGCTGGTGTGTTTCAGATGTTAGACAAGACACAAACTTGCCATTGCCAGTGTGTGAATGTGTGTGTGAATGGGTGAATGACTGAATGTAGCGTAAAGCGCTTTGGGGTCCTTAGGGACTGAGTAAAGCGCTATACAAATGCAGGCCATTTACCATTTACAAACGCAGAAACCAAGGAGACAATCATAAATAATGGCTGACTTTAACCTCAACTGAAAGCTAAATAGGAATAACACATTAACTATAATCACAAATCTAACATGAGACGAATAAAAAAATATACTCAGAGCGCTGGTTCAGAGACCCAGCCTGTGACACCAGGCCATGGTTGTTTAAGTTGACTAAAACTAAACAAAGAAAAATAAAAAAATAAAAAACTATTTTGTAATTAATCCAATCAAATTCAAACTAGTAGCATGTAGTTACAATTAATAAAAAAAACCTAAAATGTACAAATTTTGTCCTATTTGCCAACTCAACCAGTCTGCTGAATACAAGCACTGTTTCTCTTCTTAAGGGGCGTGGGGGTTCAAATGTACATGTATGGTTTGCAGTTCTTGATGAAGAGACACTGTAATTCTATTATATGTGGCACATGCAATGACAATAGGTATTATACTCTGTTTTATGTTGTCTCAACTAAACTCCTCTATGTATCAATCAAAGCTTACATTGCAAAAAAAAAGAAAGTAATCAGATTTTGTTCATTCTGTGACCCCCACTGCCCATGTTGTATGTGTGGGCATGCGTGAAACATAAGTATATTTTCAAATCATATAAGTATGCTGTTACCGTCAATAGAAGAAGGGTTTGGAGGTCCAAATCTATTGTACTGGTCTATCTGAAAACACACACCATTGTACATGGTGTAGCTTTTGCAGTCCTTTGGAATAGTTGGACCACATGCCTGAAAAGAAAAAAAATTCTGATTAGAGTTAATTATTATTATTATTATTATTATTAATTATTTTCCTGTGCCAGTGTATTTGCAGTTCACCAACTCACCACAGTGTTTTGGGTTCCAGGATCATTTTTCATTGTCAAACCAAGGGACATGTTGATTGCAAAATCTGGCTCTGGATTGGAAGCATTCATTAGATGTTAAAACAATCATGAAATACATTTTGTGATCACTAGAAAAAAAAAGTTGAATATGATTTAATGAATACTTGAAAAATGTTGTCAGAGTTTCAGGACATTACTGTTGAGACATTAAGAAACTACCTACCTTGAAATTGTATATTTTGGCAGTTTTCTCCAGAGGTGGTACACCTATATATTTTCCCTTTTCTGTTTTGCGAATACTGTTCTAGTGGGGCACTGACAAGCAAGCTAACAAGAGAAAACCAAACATAAGATACAAGTTTGGTGGATGAAGTGGAGTGAAAAAGCTCCCATTGTTTTAATAAGGATTAAATGATTCAATATTTCTTTGACAAAAAAGCAAAAGTATTAGTGGTAATTATAAACAATTGCAAACCCACATTTAACCTAAAAATCCATGCTCTGACTTACTCTGATTGTCTTTGAACCACCTGGTAGCCAAAACCAGCAGCAGAGCTCCTCAGGGTCTTCCAAGCCGCAGGATCGATATTGAAACAAAGTGCAGCATTTAAGACTGAGAATTAAAGAAAAACATTATTGAAGCTGATTATGGAATAATAATGTGATTTTATTAGCAGTATCTATAATCACTTATAGAAACAGTATACAGTCTTTGTTAGTTTCGTTGTATTTCTTGAATGCAGCCACAATGTTTCTTTTATGACCACTGGAGAGCACCAAAGTCCAACATTTTAAAGCTCTGAATTTTGTTACTCAGAACAGTTATTGAGTTAAAAAACATTTTTAATATTTTAATTTGGAATCAGTTTTGTGTCTTTGATTGTTGTATTTTAATCCATCAGTCCAAGAGTAAGTGCTGAAACATAAACTTTAAAGAAAAGATATTGTAGTACTTTTTAAAGCTCCAGATATTTATCAGGTACACCACAGTATCAAAACATATCATTACTATACTGTATAATTTGCTTATTTACAGTATTGAAAAAATGCAGCTAAATAGACAATCACACCTGTGTGCACATACATCCTGCTCTCCTGAACTATGTCAGATTCATCAAGTTATGACACAAACAAACACACACACACACACACACACACACACACTTACAAACAAAAAACCCACACACATAAGACAGAAAATGTCTGAGATAAGTAAGGTTTGTATAGCATTTCTATAAATCCCAAAAATAAATTGAAATCAGCAAACTGTGATTACTAACTTTGATATTCAAAAAATACATAGACGCAAATATTTTCTCAGATGAAAACCATAAAATTAAAATCTAATTTTACATTGCAAATTGAATGTCCTGTAGAAGGCTTCCCCCTGAAATGACCGGCCTTATTTTTGCCTTCATTTTTTGGGCATTAGCTTTACACAGCTTTCTGAAATAACCAGTATATCATATAGTGCCTGTTCTCCATAATGTACATGTATTTGAAAAATATACCTCATCGTTATTATATGCACTCATTTTTTTTTCTTGTCACCATGACTCAGCCATATTAATATGATCATTATTGTTTCAACAATAGTTAAAAACTATCAGTCCGCTTAGAATTTGTTTGATTTTTCATGTTATTTACATTTCTGCTCAATTGTTATACAGACATGAATAAACATGATATTAAACATGTCAGAATAAACTGGACAGATACATATGATGTGACATTAATGTAAAAAGCCTCAGGTTTGGTTTAGCCCTGTATGGGCAGGTACATAACAGTCAGATATGTATGTATAACGATTGCATGGACTTATTACAGTTTTTGAACCTGTTTTAGTTTTATGATTGAAAAACACAGTTTTCATCAAAACGCCAGTCATAATTTTACTGTTTGCTGACCTTCATAATTAGAAAATAATAGATAAAATCACAATGCACAAACTTGTTTTACCTGACAGGAATAGTGCAGCACTAGATATCCAGTCCATTGTGTGAGATGTTACATCTGCTGATAGTGTCAGAGAGGAGTTGAAACCAGAAATACAAAAATGATACAGTGCTTCCTCAAAGATAAGACAGTCATTTAAAGGAATTATTATGTAGGAGGAGTTACATCATTGTTTTATGACACACTATAGACTGTGGTGGTATTGCTTAAATTTTATCCAGTGATTCAAGCACTTGATTTTTATAACAACTGAAATGTTTATTAGTTTCTAGGCAACACACTCAACTCATGTAAATAATAATTAAAGGTTTTACTTGGCTATTTATTATTCTAACTTCAGTTTTTGTTGCCAATAGATTGGTACAGCATCTGCAGTGGTGTGGAGACTGTACCAGTCTGTCATGGTAAACAGAGAGCCGACAATGAAAGCAAAGCTCTCGATCTATTGATCAATCTGTGTTTCTAAGATCATCTATGAGCAAATCAATTATTAGTGACTGAAAGATTGTGTTTATGGATGTATACAATGGAAATTCACTTCCTCTGAGATATGGTTGAGGAGATCAGTCATTTGGGAGAGCTGTTGCATCTCCACATCAAAACGGGGGTGAGCGGTGATGAGGGGTCATGGGTGCAAATATACCTCTACTTTAGACAACGCCCTTTCAGTTCCAGTGTGTTGACCAAACATTCATGGCTTACCACTAATGCTTCACAGCACGTCACTGTGACTCAATACTGACTCAAATCATGCAGTGTAAAAACAACAAAATTATTCAAGGTGAAGAAATGTAATATTCTTCAATGGCCAAAAATATGTTAATGTCCAAAAACGAACTATTTGTTCTAACTAGAACATTTACAGGAATTTGTTTTTAATCTTGAATGGATTAAATGTTATCCTGAAAAGAGTGCTTTATTATTTTGAGTATGTTGTACATCCTGACTTGGAACACATTTGTCAGAAGAAGATGTCATGGTGTCCATTTCCTGTTTTGAGCATATTTCAGCTGCCGTAGGGCGAGAGGTGGGGTACACATCACCACTCTGTCATAGGACTAACACAGAGAGACAGACAACCGTTTGTACTCACAAGTAATAGTAGTAGTAGTAGTAATATAATACAAATATAGCTAGATGACATGGTCTCATTCAAAACAATAATCTGTTGAACACAATTTAATCATGGGAAAATTTTCCAGGTAATTAAATCAAGTTAACAAAGGTTTTGTTAATTCACAGAAAATGTTCAATTTTTGTTCTTACTTTTTACTCTAGACTCCTTGTATTTGATTACTGTTATTTAGTATGAATAGTTTTTGAATCGTATTAATTCATTGCTGTTTTAATACTGAAAAGTGGGCTTGTTTATAGATTCTATTAGTTTTTTTGATTTCCCCGTGTGTGAGTTTTTCTGTTTTCTCTAATATCTTCTTCAGTATATCATATCATGTTTATATTATGTTATGTTGTTTGATGTTTTCTTCTTGTGCCCTTTATTCTGTGTTTTTGGAAAGGATGCAGCAGTGCATCAGCTTTTGATGGCTTGGTGCCTTGAAAGC